TTTAAAACAACAACCGCGCCCTCCGCCGCCAGCCCGCTCCGCGCACTCCGCACCTCAGAGTTTGACTTCAGCACTGCGCCTCCTCTGAGTGTCCGTATGCGTTACTTTTTCCTCCTAGTTGTAGGAATTCCACTCAGCCAGCGTTCCTGTGGTTCTGGGTGATGTCCGTTCCGTCTTTTAGTTTCACTTTTGAAGTGGTTGTTCAAGGCAGCAAACTCCGGCGTTAACCTATGCCGCCATCTTGGTTCTCTCAAAAAGCAGATTCTTGTTTTATATCATAGAGTGTAAAACCTATCCTGACCTAAGATTACTTTAGTGCTCTCACTGAAACAAACAGTATTGTCAGGAGCACTTGTTGCTGATTAGGAAAACTACATTTTATATGTATGTTCTTTGTGAAAGGTGTATTTCTGGTGGCTGTTCTCTTTTATGGTGTGAGAGGAGAAGAAATGAGTGGTTTCTGAGAGGGAGGGGTCAGGAGGATCTTCCAGCCAATGACCAGGACTAGATCTCCCTCATAAGCTGCTAGAGCAGGGGTGGGCAAACTTTTTGACTCGAGGGCCACAATGGGCTCTTAAACTGGACCGGAGGGCTGGAACAAAAGCATGGATGGAGTGTTTGTGTGAACTAATATAAATTCAAAGTAAACATCATTACATAAAAGGGTACCGTCTTTTTTGTTTTAGTTTTATTCATTTCAAACGGGCGGATCCGGCCACAGGCCGTAGTTTGCCTACGGCTGGGCTATAAGGTTGGCCTAAGGCAGTGGTCAGCAAACTCATCAGTCAACAGAGCCAAATATCAACAGTACAACGATTGAAATTTCTTTTGAGAGACACATTTTTTAAACTTAAACTATATAGGTAGGTACATTGTTATTAATTTAATTAGGGTTCTCCTAAGGCTTAGAAGAGCCACACTCAAGGGGCCAAAGAGCCGCATGTGGCTTGCGAGCCGCAGTTTGCCGGCCACGGGCCTAAGGGTTTGCTGTCATGTTTTATTCTTTTTTTTTATTCATTTCAAACGGGCGGATCCGGCCACAGGCCGTAGTTTGCCTACGGCTGGGCTATAAGGTTGGCCTAAGGCAGCACACGGGCCTAAGGGTTTGCTGTCATGTTTTATTCTTTTTTAAAAAAATATATTTTATTGATTTTTTACAGAGAGGAGGGGAGAGGGATAGAGAGTTAGAAACATCGATGAGAGAGAAACATCGATCAGCTGCCTCTTGCACGCCCCCTACTGGGGATGTGCCCGCAACCAAGGTATATGCCCTTGACTGGAATCGAACCTGGGACCCTTGAGTCTGCAGGCCGATACTCTATCCGCTGAGCCAAACCGGTTAGGACATGTCATGTTTTATTCTGCATCATCATTCATATATGCTGACCTATGCTGGGCTCTTTCCTACCTCAGGTCTTTTGCATATTTTCCCCCCTCTCCCTGCATAGTCTTCTTTTTTTTCTTCACAAAGCTGGTCCTTTCTTATCCGTCCGGTTTCAGCTAAAATTTCACCTCCGTAGAAAAGACTACCTTGAGCAAATTATCAAAAATAGGTCTCTCCTCTTCTTTGGTTTTTATTTTAAATCCCTGCTTTCTGTTTCCTTCTCAGTACAAAAAAGACTTTGTTGTTATTTACATATTTACGTCTTTCCCACTGGGCTGTAAGCTTCTGTATGGGCAGCCTTTAGCACAATACTGATACCTGGTAGTCTCTTGCTAAATATGTTCTGAATGAATAAGTCAGTCAGTCAAACATTTATTGAGCACCTGTTAGGTGCTAGCCATTATTTAGGTCCTAAATATCAAAGATAGCATGCTGAAGAAGACACAGCACTCAATTTCTAAACGAGAGACTGAGACATAAGCAGATGGTTATGAAGCAACGTGGCTAGTTGTAGAGAAGGTGTAGGGCATTATCTGAGCACAGAAGAGGGGTACCCAACCCTGACTGTTCAATGGAACGTGTGGCTTTGTAATCACAGCCTCCTCTTGTCCTTCTGCCATTCAGCCCTGAAAATCCTCAGCCCTGATCAGTCCTTTTTCATTATAGATTCCCAAATAATTGAGCCTCATGGAAGAAAACACTTTATTCATGTAGATTTGAACCACATTCATATTAGCATTTACAGTCTCAGCTGGGTCCCCAGTACTGCTTAGCATTTTCCTTGCCTGCGCCTCCCGTAGCCCACACTGGTAATTCTAATCCTTAAACACTTCTTAAAGTTCTTGCTGTTCCCCGTACTCTCTGGCTTTCATAAAGAAAATTGAAGCCATCACACAAAACTGCCTCAGCCATTTACTTTCCGCTATTCTTCCTATCTCAGAGGAAGAGTTGTCTCTCTTTGGACCCATATTCTGGATTCTCTTGCTACCTTTACTTCCGTGTCCAATTTTGAATGTTATATAAGACTTTGGTTTCTGTCAAAATCCTCTAAAGAATGTTGCATCCTTTTTGTTTGCAGCAGGCATCGCCTGGCTGGGTTCAGACTCTCAGTTTCTCGCCTTCTGTGAACAGTGACTTCAGTGTTAGTTCAGTTCTCAAAGCCTTCGTTGTACTCCTTTAGGTCCACCCCTGTGCACATACAGCTCAGGGTGACTCTGGGATGTGTGCCAGTTCATACACGGAATTAAAGGATCCACTTTTCTAGCTTGCTCCCTTTCAGGATACCCACCCGCTACACTCCCCAGATCCCACTGACGACAATTTTTCTTACAATCAATGAGAGAGAGAGAGAGAGAGAGAGATCTGTCATGGGCTTACTCCTTTACCAGTGCTGGAAGTCTAGTTTTTCTTACTTTTTTGAAAGCAGAAAATAATTTCATTTTTATTGTAGCAAAAGTAAATCCAAACAGAAAGAAAAAACTCCACAAAAATTCCAGAGAGAACCATCATAAGCCTTTTGCTATTTCTCATTTTCCTATTTTACCTATAACAAACAAATGAATCACTTTAAAAATCATAGCCTTATTGAGATATACAGTCTAGTCTTGTCATTCACGGCAGCTTTGTTCTATATAGTTGCCTCAAACACCAAATTAGTGAATACTGAACCATTGCTCCTAGGGAAGATATAGGTTAGGTTCCTGGGAGCATCTGATCACATTTTTGTTAGCTGATCAATACATTACCTTGTTGTATATGAATTGTTGTTTAAAGACCCCTTATTTAGCCCTAACCAGTTTGGCTCAGTGGATAAGGCGTCGGCCTGCGGACTGAAAGGTCCCAGGTTGGATTCTCGTTCAAGGGCATGTACCTTGGTTGCAGGCACATCCCCAGTGGGAGATGTGCAGGAGGCAGCTGACGGATGTTTCTCTCTCATCGATGTTTCTAACTCTATCTCTCTCCCTTCCTCTCTGTAAAAAATCAATAAAATATATATATATTTTTAACAAAAAGGTGATACAAACATGGCCACAAACAATTTCAGAACATTTCATCACTCTGAAAAGTCTTATACCCATTATAGCCTTTTTCCCTCACCTCTACACCCAGCCTTAGACAACTACTAGTCTACTGTCTGCCTCTATAGATTTGCCTTCTTTGGGCATTTCATATAAATGGAATCATGTAAAATATGACCCTTTATGACTGGTTTATTTCACTGAACATCGTGTTTTCAAAAGTTAATCAATCTTGTAGCATGTAGCATTACTTCATTCCTGACAATTGGATAATATTACATTTTATGCATTTAGCACATTTTATTTATCCATTTATCAGTTGATGGACATTTGGATTGTTTCCATTACCTGGCTATTATGAATAAAGCTGCTGTGAACATTTGTGTACAAATTTTTTGTTGAGATGTGTTTTCATTTATCTTGAGTATATACATAGGAGTGAAATTTCTAGGACATCTGTCACTTTATGCTTAACTTTTTGAGGAACTGTCGTACTGGTTTCCAAAGTGGCTGTACTACTGTTTATTCTCACCAGTGGTATATGAGGGTTCCAGTTCTCTGCAGTCTCACCAGCACTTGCTATTACCTGCGTTTTTAAATTACAGCTATCTTAATAGGTGTGATGTAGTATTTCATTGTTATAGTTTCCTGATGGTTAGTGATGAGCATCTTTTCATATGCTTATTGGCCATGTGTATATCGTCTTTGGAAAACTATTAGATTCTCTGCCCAGTTTGTAATTGAGTTTTTTGTCTTTCGATTATTGAGTTATGTGAGTTCTTAATATATTCTACATACAGGTTCCTTTTTAGTTATATGATTTACAAATGTTGTTTTCCCATTCTGTGGGTTGTCTTTTTACTTTCTGGATGGTTTCCTTTGCAGCCACAAAAGTCTTAATTTTGATGAAGACTAGTTTATTTTTTCTTTTGTGGCATTTGATTTTGGTGTTCCCGTAAGAATTTTATGTCTCTTACATTTAGGTCTATGATTCACTTTGAGTTAATTTTTGTATGTAGTGTTAGATAGGGGTCTAACTTTTTTCTTTATCATGTGGATATCCAGTTATCCTAACACTATTTGTTGAAAAGATTATTCTTACCCATTGAATTCTCTTGGCACTCTTGTCAAAAATCATTTGAGTGTGAATATAAGGGTTTATTTCTGAAAAGTCATTTCTATTTTGTTGATCTACATAATTTATCCTTATCCTGCTATCACACGATCTTTGATTACTCTACTTTTGTAGTAAATTTTGAAATTGGGAAGAGTGAGTCCTCCAACTTTGTCTTCTATTCCAGGATCATCTCAGCTATTTTGGGTCCCTTGCATTTTCTTATGAGTTCAAGAATCATCTTGTTAATTTTTACAAATAATCTAACTAACATTTTGATGGTGATTGCATTAAATCTGCCCATCAGTTTGGGGAATACTGCTATCTCAACAACATTAAGTCCCCCGAGCCATGAATATGAGGTGTCCTCCCATTCGTTTAGATCTTAATTTCTTTCAGCAATGTTTTATAAGTTTCTGAGTATAAAATTTACACTTTCTTTGTTAAAAATTTATTTCTCAGTATTTCTTGATGGTATTATAAATAAATTTTCCCCCTTAATTTTGTTTTCAGATAGTTCATTGCAAATATATAGAAATACAGTTGATTTTTGTATAATGATCTTGTATCCTGCCACTTTCCTGAAAGAGAAATAATCTTTAAAGTAAAAAGATAAAAGTAATTTTAAGCTTTTATTTCAAAAAGTTAGAGATCATAATTTGACTCATATGATGTCCAAGTAAGTAGACTAAGTGATGTTATAAGACTTCTTTTTTTTTTTTTTTTTTTAAATATATTTTATTGATTTTTTACAGAGAGGAAGGGAGAGAGATAGAGAGTCAGAAACATCGATGAGAGAGAAACATCGACCAGCTGCCTCCTGCACATCTCCTACTGGGGATGTGCCTGCAACCCACGTACATGCCCTTGACCGGAATCGAACCTGGGACCTTTCAGTCCACAGGCCGACGCTCTATCCACTGAGCCAAACCGGTTTTGGCATAAGACTTCTTGATAATGTGGGAGAAATTAGCTCGTCTTCTCCCTCTTTGTCAATTGTTTTGTTAAGATATTTTCAGTCTCTTATTTTTAAGGGAGTTGTATAATTGAAAATGCTCATATATTTGAGACATTAAGGGAGCTGGTTTTATATCTTGGATTCAATCCCAAGCACGCTCATGATAGCATGATATTAAGTGACTATATCAGAAGAACTTTCATTCTGGGCATTTTGATTTGCTATTAGTGCATCCATGTTTTTGACTTGAATGTTTTTCTTTGTTTTTGGTTTTTTGTTAATCCTCACCTGAGGATATTTTTCCATTGATTTTTAGAGACAGTGGAAGGGAGGACGAGAAACATCGATTGGTTGCCTCCCACAAGCACCCCAACCAGGGCTGGGGATCGAGCCTGCATCCCAGGTACGTGCCCTTGACTAGAATTGAACCCAGGACCCTTCAGTCCATGGGCCAACGCTCTGTCTACCGAACCAAACCAGCTAGGGTCTGAATCTTTTTCTTTGGTTTATTGTTTTTATTTGGTTAATTCAGTCTGAAACTGCTTCCTCTCATTCTTTTTTAAATTTTATTCTTTTATATATATAATATGTGTATGTATTTGGTTTTTTATTCAGTTGAGCTCAAGGTTGCAGGAGAAAAGAATCAATAGATGGAAATATCAAAAGTGTGCAAGGGGCTAACTTTTAGCAGTTTTGTCACTTTGTGTGACTGGACTTTTTAACAGGTTTATGATAAATGTCAATCAGGATGGGACACTGAATTCCAAACTCCACTCGGACTTCAGTTTGGAGTAAATCAAGAAGAAGACAAAAAAGAGGTATGTAATGATAAATGCTTTTGGACACCAGTGTTTCTACTGTAACAATATATGTGAAATTAGAAATAATTTGTTGTGTCCTAATAATTAAGAGCTAATACTAAAAATTTCATAAAAGTTAAGAAATTACTTGAGTTATTATAATATGTTAAACTTCTAAGCTCCTAGGATTTAGGGTACCTTGATGTGAAATCAGAGATATTATCCTAGTGAATTTCTTCAGTTAGTGATATTTGCCACAATAACTTATTTAAAGGAAGAGTTTTCATTTATGGCTTCCTTTTTTCCTCCCTTTTCAATCCAAAGTCAGTGTAAACCAACAGTTTTTAACACTGTCCATGCACCAGTATCAGATGTGGAGTTTTTTTCAGATATATATATTTTTTGGTATCTGAAAAGGTAGGTTTGGGGCATCTGTATTTTTTAAAAAGTATCACTGATGATTGTGCTATATCTTCAATATTGAGAACTGCTATTAGACTTTTAATGTTTTTACTAAAAGGTTACAAACATGTCTGTGTGTATACTATTGCTATTTGAGTAGCTATGTCCTTAAAAGAGAATATTTCAACCCAGAGGTATGAATGTATCACACATCGTAGTAGCACTTTCTTTTGTTATACCTGTTCCCTTTAAAAGTATGATGCTCTTATATTCCTCAGTCCTTCTCTGCTCCCCACCACGTTAGGCTAGGCTTAGAGTGTGGTTTTAATTTTGAAAAGTTAGTGACTACTGTTATGAAATACATCTCACATTCTTTCTGTGGCCCTGCTTCTATGGTTCTTACTACTTGGTTATAATAAATATAGTATATATTTTATCATATCAAGTATAGTCATTTCCTCAAGTGTCATTGACAAGGGATTGTACTCAGGGAAAACTAAATTAGTGCTTCTTTCTCTGACTTGCCTGTAACATATAATGGCCATGTGCTTGAAGATATAAAGGCCTTGCTGTATGTGATATCCTGAGCCACCGTAAATAGAAGGAAATTAAGGACTTAGTTCCATGTGGCTTCCATATCATATCGTTTTCTTGTCTCAGGCACAAGGATAATTTCCTTCCTTGGAAAGTCCTCTGAGAGCAGAATCTTAACAATTTTAACTTCTTTCCTTTAGCGTCAAAAGCGGTACCTGAGATATAGGCGACTTTTCATGGATATTGAAAGAGAAAAAGTAAAAGAACAACAAAGGCAAAAAGAATGCAGGAAGAGAATTGAAAAGTGAGTTTTTTGATCCTCATTGTGATCCTTAAATTACTAGTTAAGGTGATTTTAGAAGCTAGGTTTTAGAAATAATCAGGTAGTGGTTTTGCCTTCTGAGCCATAGTGGGAACAACTATTTTTGATCTGGATGGAAGTATTAATAGATGATTAAAGGCTATGTCTTTAAACAGTGAAACTTAAGCAGAAAGTACAGAGAGTTCCCACTTACCCCCTGCCTCTTCTACTGTTAACATCCTGTACCTCAGTGGTACATTTGTTACAACTGATAAACCTACGTGCACGCATTATAATCCATATTTTACATTCGGGTTCACTCTTGGTGTAGTAGATTCTTACAGTTTTGACAAATGTATAATGACATGTACCCATCATTACAGTATCACACAGAATAGTTTCACTGCTCTAAAAATCCCATCCTACAACTGTTTATTCATCTCTCCCTCCCCCAGTCCCTGGCAACCACTGACCTTTTCACTGTCTCCATTGTTTACTGCCCCAGAGTGGTAATCGTGCAGGATGTAGCCAAAAAGCCTGTTCAGTTGACTCCTTTCACTTAGTGATAAGCTTTAAGATTCTTCCAATGCCTTTTCATGGCTTGGTAGCTCATTTCTTTTTAGTGCTGAGTAATATTATAGTGTCTGAATGTACCACAGTTTATTTATCCATTCACCTACTGAAGGACATCTTGGTTTCTTCCAAGCTTTGGCAATTATGAATAAAGTTTCTATAAATATTCATATACAGGTTTTATGTGGGCATAAATTTTTAACTCCTTTGGTAAATACCAAGGAGTGCGCTTGCTGGATTGTATGGTAAGAGTTTGTTTACTTTGGATAGAAATTGCCAAACTTTCTTTCAAAGTAGCCAAACCATTTTGCATTCCACTAGCAGTGAATGAGAATTCTTGTTGTTTCACATCCTTGCCAGCATTTGGTGTTTTCAATGTTTTGGCTTTGGGCCATTCTAAGTATCTAATAGTATCTCATTGTTTTAATTTGCAATTCCGAAATGACATATGATGTGGAACATCTTTTCATATACAGTTAACCCTGGAACTATGTTGGGGTTATGGGCACCAACTCCCCCACACAGTTGGGTATCTGCATATTGCTTTGACTCCCCAAAAACTTAACTACATTCATCTCATATCTATGGGAGATTGGTTCTAAGACCCCCCTATGGATTCCAAAATCTGTGGATGCTCAAGTCCCTTATTTATGGTATGGCATTGGCATTGGCATTCACGGATTCCTAACTATAGATTGGAAATACTGTTTCCATCTGCAGTGTTTGAGTCCACACATGCAAACCTGGGGGGAACCAAAGGGCCAACTCTAGATTTATTGGAAAATATTCAAGTATAAATGAACCCACGCATTTCCAACCCAGGTTGTTTAAGGATCAACTGTACTTATTTGTCATCTGTATATCTTCTCTGGTGAGGTCCCTATTCAGGTGTGTAGCCCATCTTTTCATTGAGCTTTTTAAAAATTGAATTTATTGGGGTTACATTGGTTAATTAAATAGGTTTCAAGTGTACAATTCTATAATACATCATCTGTATATTATATTGTGTTCTCACCACCCATAGTCTAGTCTCCTTCATCCCCATTTATCCCTCTCTTTACAGTCTACCTCCTCCCACCCCCTTTCCCTCTGGTAATCCCTATACTGTTTATAAGGTGTTTCTATTTGTTTGCTGTCCTTCACCTTTTCCACCCAGCTACCCCCCTGAGAACTGTCAGTCTGTTCTCTGTATCTATGAGTCTCTTTCTTTAAAAAAATACACACACATGTTTTTATTGATTTTTATAGAGAGTGGAAGGGAAAGGGAGAGAGATAGAAGCATCAATGAAACACATCAACATCAGCTGGCTGCCTTCTGCATACCCCCTACTGGGGATAGAACCCACAACCCGGGCACATGCTCTGACGGGGAATTGAACCGGTCACCTCTTGGTGCATGGGATGCTGCTAAACCAACTGAACCACATCAGCTGGGCTAGTCTGTTTCTAGCTTGTTGATTTATTTTGTTCATTAGATTCCACATATAAGTGAAATTATATGGTTATGTGTGTTTCTCTGACTGGCTTATTTCACTTAGCATTATAACCTCTAGGTCCATCCATGCTGTTGTGAAAAGTAAGATTTCTTTAACAGCATTCTAAAGTAAACATATATCAGCTTTCTGAACACGAACCAATGAACACTGCTTTACTTATCCAAGTGCAATAAGAATCAAATGATTTGTTTTTATTAATTTATTTAGCAGCTATTTATTGAGCATCTATTAATTAGTAGACATGAAGCTAGACTTAGGGGGTACAAAAAAATGAAAAACATGATCCCACTCTTCAGGGATCTTACTAATTGGGAGGCAGATAAATGAACAGGTAATGACAATACTATATATTACGTTTGACAAGATAATGTAGCATGTGGTTAAGAACATGGAGAGAGATGTGTTCAAGTCCCTGCTCTGCTGCCTACCAGCTGTGTGACTTTGGGACGTTACCTCCGTGAGCCTTAGTTTCTTCTCTATAAAACAGGGATAATGATGGTATATACCTCATAATGTTGCTATAAGCATTAAATGAGGTAACATGTAAATGTGCTTAATACAGACCCTGGCACATACTATGTGCTCAATAAATCTTACTTGCCAAATATTTAAGGGAAAAAGATATAACCAGTTTTACATAAATTATCCCAGAGAATAGAAAACAGGGAATGCTTCCCAAATATTTACAGAGGTCATTAAAACTTTA